AAGGTTAATTTCTAAATTACATATGCAAAGCGAACTTCTATTTTTTAAAGCCTCTGAGATTGCTGAGTCTGAAGTAAGCAATGAAATTAGAGAGAATTTTGGAACAACATTCTCATAACAAATACTGAGTTAATACTGAGGTCTGGAATCCTATTTACTGTGACAAAGTTAACATTATTTCTCACTGCCCTGGGACAATCATTCCCTGCACATGAGTCCCTGATGCCACAGGCAAGTCCACTCTGCAAGGCTGACACAGGCCAACAGATGTGGCCATTATTTGCTGTTGAAAACGTTGCCATTTCAGATTTTATCTGAATTATAAACATATCACAGATCTACCTTTTTGTATATGAGTGTGTCCATAGATTTTAATAGACCTTCTGGAATTTTACATACCTATTTCCAGGATATAATATTTTGCATCTACCGAAACCTTTGTTTAAAACCCTGATTCATACCAATCAGAAATACATAAGCCTTGTTCCTGAGAGTCCCCTGTATCTATAGAAGTTCTGAAAGGAGGGTTCTGGATAAGCCCTACATTATTAATTCTTTCCTGAGTATTAGTCTATATATGTTTGTCAGATTCTGAGTTCCCTGAGGGCACACCCCATGTCTTACCCATCCCTGCATCTTTGCACACAAAACACTTAGCAAAGTACGTGGCACCAGTAAGGGCTAAAACAATGTTTGTGCAATAAATAAGAAACAAACAGAATAAACCTATTAGCACACTCACTGATTAGGCACCTGTATATAGTTTATTGAGTAATTATGTTAGTAGATAACTGCATCAGTAACAACTGCCATTACTTGAAAATACTGAGTTAACTTACTTCCAATACTTCTCCTTTTACAGCTGTGTGGTATAGTGGGGAGAATTTTCCCTGGCAGGGTGAAGACCTAGACAGTAGTTACAGCTGTGTCTCCATCAGCTGTGTGTCTTTAGATAAGAAACTTTCAACAAACATAAAAATAAAGAGTAATTAGTTGTTTTTTCTTTTTTTTGGCGGTACGCGGGCCTCTCACTGCTGTGGCCTCTCCCATTTGCGGAGCACAGCCTCTGGACGTGCAGGCTCAGCGGCCATGGCTCACGGGCCCAGCCGCTCCGCGGCATGTGGGATCTTCCCGGACCGGGGCACGAACCAGTGTCCCCTGCATCGGCAGGCGGACTCTCAACCACTGTGCCACCAGGGAAGCCCAAGAGTAATTAGTTTTTAAAACTTTACTGAAACACACATTTTTGGAAAATTTTCACCTGCCACATTTTCAGTATCCAGTGAAAATATGAGACAGAACTACCGTGATTTGGATAAAGCTTGCTCAACAATAAAGATGCAGCTTTTGGAAACCATGTGCATTATACCATTACAGCCCTCTGAATGTTATAACTTGAACACCTCAATATTGTAGCCATGGGAATCTTACCAGCTACTTTTTCTGTTCAATTAGAATGGTCTATAAAAATGTACAATCCTAGTACATCTTTAGTTATGAGTATCCTAGGTATGGATTAGAACTGCAAGGATAATTGGTTGAGCCATACTCTTAAAAATCAACAAGGTATTTTTGGTTGATTTATTCAGCTCCTGATATTCATGAGTTTTGAAAACACAATTAACTGTTCCTATAGATATTTCCTCATCTTTTCAGAATCCATAAAATGCCTTCAACGACCAATTTCCTGACTATGCTTTTCCACTATGGGAAAAGGGTGAGATGAAGTGTGAAAGACAAATTTTCATTTTTTATGCTATAAAAGCTGCTGCTCAACTGTGATGATAAAAATCCAGGTAATCAATGATTCTCAGAATTTTCACTCTTTAAGAGCATATTGCTATACTTTGTTTAATGGTCCAGTCTGCATTTTTTTTTTTAGAAGAAAACTTCAATTTAAGAGAACATGTTCAGGGCTTCCCTGGTAGTGCAGTGGTTAAGAATCCACCTGCCAATGCAGGGGACAAGGGTTCGGGCCCTGGTCCGGGAAGATCCCACATGCTGCAGAGCAACTAAGCCTATGCGCCACAACTACTGAGCCTGCACTCTAGAGCCCGTGTGCCACAACTACTGAGCCCACATGCCACAACTACTGAAGCCTGCACACCCAAAGCCCATGCTCCACAACAAGAGAAGCCACCGCAATGAGAAGCCCACGCACCGCAACAGAGTAGGCCCCGCTCGCTGCAACTAGAGAAAGCCCGCGCACAGCAACGAAGACCCAACGCAGCCAAAATAAATGAATTTATAAAAAAAAAGAAAAAGAGAACGTGTTCAGGCACAAAAGTAAATATGCTTAAAAGTTAACCAGCCAAGACCCAAATTCTGACCTTCTAAAGACATTATAGAGGGGGAAAAAAATCCTATAATTAGTAACAAGGAACAGCATAAACATACAGTGCTTATCATCAGGGAAAGAGGAAATAACCTTAACACTAAATGTTCACTTTTGAAATGATATTTTAACAATATTTCAGTTGTATTTCAAATATGTCTATATAGGACACTATCATGATAGTTAATGTATATTTTCAATCACATTTGATGTAAAGCCTGTAAATTTGTTAGACTTGCCGCATTCTTTCTAGAGAAACTTTCAAAGTGTCTGAAACACTACATTAAAAGACAACTAAAATTTCTCATTGAGAAAAACTCTTTTGTGGGAAATCTAAATTAAAACCTTCCAATTTAAAGTCCTCAACATTTTCCACGTAGGAAAACTCTTTAAGTATACTTCTTCAGATAGTTTTTAAAGCAATCAGCACCGGCAATGTTAAATTATCGTGGCTCTCAAGAAAAACAGAGGAACACTGTACAGAAGACCCTCACATTTGTGGCTCTGTGTATTCCCTGTGGGCTGTGCCAACCCACTCTCTCCCCAGTAATGACTCTTTGTTTTTACTAAGTCCCAAAGGGCTGGTGAGAGCGCTGCAAAGAGAAAGGGGGGGAGGGGTGGATGGAATGCAGCTGCAGGCTCTGAAACAATGCTGAGTCCATATATTTTGTTCCCAGTTAGAATAATAAAAAGGGGACTGTGGTGGGGGGTGAGGGGATGGAGAAGACAGAATGCAGAATAAGCAAGGTAGGGCCAAGTATCCTATAGCTCTCATCCTGCAGCACTCCCTCCTCTCTCTACATTCATACTCTCCCAACTCCAATAACCATTCATTTGGTTAAAAAGCTTATCTGTTAAAATTCAAACACCCATTAAGATTTACACCTATCAGTCATTTATATCTAAATTACTTTTATCAGTGAACTATACTCCGACAAAGAATAGAGTAGGAAGAGAGAATGGAGCTTGCAAAGATAAACTGGGGAAGCTTGGACACAGAGATAAGGAAAGTTTGGGGGAGGTACGTAGGAGATTTCAGAAAGGGAGGTCCAAGGTTTCAAACAGAAACTGCCTGCTTTGTAAAGGTACCTAGGGCCTGGGGGGTAACTGGTATGCTACAGAAAATCATATTCCTTCTAAGACTGCTAAAAGCTGCATGTTTCTACATCAAGAGCTTGGAAGCCTGCACATATTGGTTCCTCATTATTCAGTCTAACCTAGTGCCTCCTAAGAAAATGTCCTTCACTTGCATTTCCCTGGCCTCCACGTCCCAACTGGGAGAATGAAAGAATTAAGGGAAGAGGGAAGAACCAGACACCAAACAAGGTGTCAGCTGCTAGTGAGGGAAAAGCAGCTCGAACCCCACTCTTCTCCCCTGGGTACTGCCCTCTCTTCCCAGATAACCGTTACTGAACCGGGTAGCCCTGCTGAGCTCAAGAAGTCAGGCCTGCCTCTCGAACATCCCTTCAGATATTGTTGATGCCATTAAAATTTGTAAGAAAATTCAAGAAGCCTCAAGTAAACAACTGACACTAATACCTCAAAAATAGTATCAGCATGCGCTAGTGACTATCTAAAAAGCTATGAAACAAAATTCAGAAGAATGCTTGTTCCATTTAGGATCCCATTCATGAACACTCTGTTACTGGGGAGAGAAAAAAAAGGACCTCATTGTAAAGCTATCATGTAGAAGCAAACCTCTGATATCCACACACAAACATCTCCTTCAAGTTAGCATTCCACAAGATTTAGAAGTACTCTTAGTTGGTGTTGAATGATACAATTAATCTCCTGACTCTTGAAATGTTTTCAAGTTATAAAGTTTAGAAAGACTGTATTTATTCACATTGAATTTTTACATTTTGTGACATAAACAAAAATTCACAAGTGTATAGATTTATAATAAATAGGAATATGATCTTCCCCCCACAGGCTGCCTTTTCTCTAGAGCTCTAAAATCCATTTACAGATATTCCAAATCTCCATACTGTATATAGAGACAAATTCAGAAATGCATATTAATTTAAATGAAGGAATGATTGAGTCTATTTATTTTATTAATATTAAATAGTAATAGTAATAATTATGAAGTAATATTGACACTACTCCTGTAAAGTTTATCATCTATTACAAATACAAAATTCATAGGTGCATTTTATTAGGAGTTATCATTTATTATACTTTTAAATCCAGCAATAAAATAGACAATACTTTGTTTATTCTGTGTACTAGAAAAATTCAATTTTCTATATATACATTTCATTTCCTAGTATTAAAGTCCATAGACAGCAGAAGTTTGTTAATATTAACAACAATCACATAAACACAACTTGCCTGAAATTAATAATTCTTTATGGTTACTTAATTGTGGTAAACAAAATGTAATCTCATAATATTATGATGTATGTTACACTTCAATAAAAAGGTTAAAAAATCAATTATCTATGACTTGGAAAAAAACTACTCTCAATATCTATACCTGAATTACTTAACTAAATCAAGAAGATAATTCAAGTCTTAAAGGTGTCATAAATTTACATTTAGTTACAAAGTTCACAAAATATGAGTGACATTATATTAAGAGGCACAGGTGAAAACAAATTTTAAGACGTAAATATAATAATGTGTAAGATTAGATTTTCTTGCTAAAACAATGCGTACTCACCCCTTGGAGCCCTTGGAACTGAATTGAAGGTCGAAAAGGAATTAAATTCTATTAAAAGAAACATAAGAAACAACACGTCAACCTCGGTTACTGGGACATGGAACTAAATGATTAAACTCTAAACTTATGCACTAGGTCAGTGTTATAGTCTGTGAAAACCTTTTCATTACATACTTAGGTTTATATGTCATTATATTAAGATGCCTTGATAAATGATACTGCACTACTGACATTTCTCTGAATACACAACCAAAGGTATTTTTTGGCAGTGTAGCTAATCACGTTTTTGAACATGACTGACATGATTTGGCAAAAAATGATCAGTGTACTAATTCAATTTTACATGAAAAAGTATTATTGCTTAGTTTCTTGATATGTTTTTTAAAAAGGTAGGGGAAAGCAAGAGACAGTCAAAGAAACTTTGCAAAACTCTTAAGAGGACGCTAGAAATATAAAATTAAAATATTTGAGAATGAACTGTGGTTTCCATTTTCTCACATTTTACCAGAGATTAGTTTTTAGTTGAGGGTCAAACAGGTTACCAATCTTCTCACAAGCTTCTCACCAGGAGAATATAATTTCTAGAACAATGTTTTGTTTCATTATGAGCTTTGTCCTGTTCATAATTTTTATATTTTCTCATAGAGTTGTGTATTTAGAACAAAAGCTGAAACTGTAAATATCTACCATAGTCTCAGGCATGATTTCCTGTACCCAAAGTCACCAGTATGGGGCTGGTTCACCACTATTGGAACGCTTTTCCAAACTGCTAACAGAAATTCATGGGGAAATCAGATTTGGGTAACATTTTAATAGTAACACATCAGCCTGTAAACTATTCTTCATACCCTCGTATCCAAACCCAACGCACAAAAACAAAAGCAGTGGTTTCTGGTCTCAACTCTACCTTAAAGAAAAATACAGAGGCACCCATGTGCCCCTCCCTCAGCCACTGCACATTAACTACTACTTACCAGGTACTTCCCAAAACTTCTCTACAGATTTAAAAGTTTACTAATCAGGATTACAATAAGCTAAAGAGAAATAAGGAAAGGATAAGTACTTTAAAAGACAGATCATCTGAATATAAAATCAACTGGTAGCATTAACCATTCTATTATTATTTATAAAAATGGATAAACATCTTCTTGAAGAAAACATAACAGATACTATTATCATTGTTCTACCACCATAAAAAGATTATTTAACTTTAGACTTATCAGCAGAATCAAAGCACTACTGGGTGACAAAATTTATTTCTTGGTGTGGGAGAAGTAGGTAACAATTTTTCATAGTGATTCATTCTAATTCACGGTGTTTTATGAAAATATAAAATATAGATTAATGCTAACCTGAACTTCCTCAGAGGGAGAAAACCTCACCCAAACCTACCTTCCATAGCTAAACGTCTACCTGAAGTAATGGTAGCTTGCATGCAGAAGCCCTGGGGAGGCCCGCTTTGTGTGTAAGTAGGTGGCACTACAATTTAGGTAAGACAGGTCGAGGTTCTAGCTTTCAGAATATTTCAATCAGCCCTGCCTCCTGCTCTCTCTTCAAATCACAAACACTGAACGTCTCCTCTGAGGCTGGTTACACTTTCCTCTCCGACTCCTTGCAGGCAGGTTATCTTCAGCCCACCACTGGAATTTGAACTTCTCTATCAAGTTCATCAATTCTTCTTGGCCAAACAAATGCTAACTTTCCTCAGTTTTCAAATTGCTCACTTCTCCACTGGCTGTCACTTGGAGACACCACTGCTCCTAGCTCTTTGATCATGCCTTTCACTTTCCTCTTTCTAGATCCAGTCTCTCCTGGAGGCTCACCTTGCCTTAGCATCTCTCTGCAACTTGCAACTTATCACAGCCTAGGACATTTTGCATTAGAAACTCTCAATGACAGCAAAATTGGCAAACACTAAACCACCTCCGCCCCTCACCAAACTGGCACCTCTTTCCTACTTTCTGGCAAGGGTGCTTCATTCTTGTTGGTTCTCCAGGCTCACAACCTTAAGTTTAACGCACAGCCTCTTCTCCCTCTCTCCTCACTGCATTCTATTAGGCAATCGCACACTGCTAGAATCACAGAATTCCAGGTCCAGAGGTACTCCAGTTGGTGTCCAGCCCCACCCCCCACCCTTAACCACAATGGGCCATGCGTCCCATTAATAACTAAGCTAGGATCAGAATCTAGGACTCAATCTTCCTGTTTTGCCATACTGTTTTTCTTCTACCGTCTTGGGCTCCACACACATCTGTTATGGTAGATCCATGGGCACTTGCTCCTTTATGCCAGAGAGTTCGCATTTTAGTTGGAGAACATTTGGAAATGATTAAATATTGTACTAGGCTAAGTACTGCTGGGAGGTGCAGTAAGGATTCTCACAAAGAAGAAAAGTATGGGTTAGAAGAGATACTAGAAAAGAGAAAAGGCTCATGGAAAAGTTGGCTCTTGAGTAGCAATTTTGAAAAGACAAACTCCAGGGAGACCAAGTGTCCTAAGCAAAAAAGCAAGGAGACAGGAATGGGTACTGTGCAGGCAGACGGCAGGTCTTTTCACACGTGAAACATAACATAAAGGATGAGAATTGGACCTGGTGATCCCTGGCTAATCTATCCTTGACCTCAAAATTTGTCTTCAGTTTTAGCTTCTATCCACTACAGAATAAACAGAACAGTAATTTAAATTTCAGACCTCATAATTTCTAAAGGTTCATCACCCTGTGAAATAACCCTAACCTAATCCCTTCCATTACCCCTTTAGGGATGGCCTTTAAGTCTTGTCTTTGACATGATAAACAACTGGAGGCTCTTCTGATTTTTGGAATAAGAAAGTGAGTTGCTGAAAGAATGAAGTGTTTCAGGGAAAGCCGCTCTTTCAGTCATGTGTAAGAAAGACAGAGAGAGAGATCAATTGGGGCTAGGGAAAAGGATTAGACACCAGCTCCAGGGGATGTTTTATTTAGGAACACTCTGGTGATAAAGGCCTAAATTAGTATGGCTTCCTCTGGAGCAAACAGGAGATGGTGGAATGAGCAGACCTTCCCAAGAAAGAATGATAAAAAGTGATGAAAGCTTGAATATCAGGCGTACACGTGCACATACGCACAAAAGAAACAAAGGTGGCTCAGGGCTCTCAATCATCATCCGGGGCCAGTCTGCCCCAGACTCCCTCATGTTAAGCTTAGTCTTTACTTTGAAAGCTCCTAGCCTGTTTCAGGTCCCTATCACCAAGCACCTAGACAAAGGCCTTCCTCCCTTCCTTCAATTCCTTCCTAATGCTACTCATTCAAATAGCTAGCAGAAGCTTTCTCAGATACCACCCTCAGCATGTAACAGCCTGCAGTGGGTTCTGTCAAAGCAAAACAAACTCCTCCACGTAGAAAGCAGACAGTCCAACTACAGGACCAACCAATTTCATCTTCCACTTCCCAACTGTGGCTCATCAGTGTTAACCTTTTTCAGTCTGTTTGTTTTGTAAACAAAACAATTGTTTTGTAAACAACTCATTGCTTTGGTTTTTTTTTTGCAATACACGCCTCTCACTGTTGTGGCCTCTCCGGATGTGCTGTGCGGGCTCAGCGGCCATGGCTCATGGGCCCAGCCGCTCCGCGGCATGTGGGATCCTCCCGGACCGGGGCACGAACCTGTGTCCCCTGCATCGGCAGGCAGACTCTCAACCACTGTGCCACCAGGGAAGCCCTGTATATTTTTTAATGCAATCCAGTTTTAAAAGATAATGTAATTACAGGTGGCCAAATATGATATGGCATGTTTTAGAATAATGTTTAACTTACTAAGTACAGTTCCATTACATATGGAAGTTCAATAGGACTTCAACTTTTGATTTTTAGCTTTAATTAAATATTTGCACCAACTGGCTCTTTTGAACATCAAGTAACTCTACGGTTTAACTGACTAGTACTGGAGCTATAAATAAGATAGTGATCTAGTATCTTCATCCATCCAAGAAACAATGCAGACTGGAACTGGCTAGGGAAACTGTTTTGATAAATGCTTCAACAAGGTGATGTTTTGTAGTCAAAAGATTCTGTTAAACTCTTGGTTGGTTTACTGATTTTAGATTTCCTTGAATTAACCCTCTGTATTTCTCAGAGAATGTAGGGCATTCTTAAGCTTAGAATAAAAGTGTAGACAATACTAAAATGCTCAAAAGTTTAGTTCTTGACATCTGCCACTATAATAAGCCAATTCTTCTGCAATAAAAACTGCTCTATGACCAAAGAAATCTATGTCCACTTATTTCCAGGGACTATGCCTTGCAATATATAAGGACTATAAAAGTAATATGTAATTTACTAAGTAATGTTACTAAGTAGTTTTAATTGTGCTGAGTAATATTAATTTCTGACACGATTCTTTTAGGGTAGGAGGGAAGAAGCAAAGCTCAGGTTTCTTTGGGGATAAATAAAAGAGTTACTTATCCTATAAAAGTTGTTATAACCATCTCTTGATTATTTACATATTGCTTATCCATCCAAATTAAACCTATGGTTACTTTTATTCTATCAACCACTATTGGTTTTGTCAACATACAACCATAAGAAATAGCATTCTGTTCTAGAAAAGAGTGATTTCTCTAAGAAACACATTATAGAGTTCTTTCTAATTTTATTCTCTAAGGTTAGCTTCGCTTCTGAACCCATAATGGAGCTTTGACTCAACTTAAAGTGAACTCTTGAGTTATTTAAAGTTAACCAATAGGTATTTATTAAATACTTCACATTTTATTTGTGTACCTAAGCTGCATTATAAGTCAAGCTAAAGAAAGTGCAAAAAGGGCTTCCCTGGTGTGGCACAGTGGTTAAGAATCCGCCTGCCAATGCAGGAGACATGGCTTCAAGCCCTGGTCCGGGAAGATTCCCACATGCCACAGAGCAACTAAGCCTGTGCACCACAACTACTGAGCCCACGTGCCACAACTACTGAAGGCCGCACGCCTAGAGCCTGTGCTCGTCGACAAGAGAAGCCACCGCCATGAGAAGCCCGCGCACCTCAACGAAGAGCAGCCCCCGCTCACCACAACTAGAG